AATTCCCACGACCCCCCGTGGGAGTGATGGCTAGTGATGGCTAGTGATGGCTCGCTCGTGCCCCGCTCAAGTGCATCCCTAGCACTTTACTCTGCAGCTACAGAGTCCCCCTGTATATAGCACATAGCTCCCTGTCAAACAATGCAAATAGTGTGCCTCAAACTTCTTTTTCATCTGTGTCTAGTACTGGCATGCTGAGGCAGCCATTCTCTGATCACTGAGTGAGGAGAATGGAGCACCAGGACACGCAAAAGTTCTCAGAGCGAGAGGGCGACAAAGAGGCGACCTCGGAGCGCCAGCATGTAGCAACCATGCCGATGATCCGAACAGCCATCAGTGATTCGCGTCGCAAGATCATATTGACAGATCCAGAGATCGCCCACCTCTTAGTTCGATTTGAACCTCCGGTCATGTGACGGCGCGGCCCATTGTTGATTGATTGCCGCATTGATGGCTTCGGCACCTCGCCACGTTCTTTCAGCAACCACCTACGGCTACATACTGCACCCCCGTGCGCGCTCGCTAAGGCAGGCGTTTTAAAGTGGGCATCCTCATTTTGTGCAATGATTCTGTGCTGGGGAATCCACCGGGCGACTTGGATTATAAGAGTCCGTTCGGAGCATCCTGGCGACCAGGATCAGGACGGGTTTCCAGGAACGGGTAGGCGGTCCGGTAGTTAGTAATAAACGTCAAGTTACTACTGTAGAGCAGGCAGAGAACTGTAGCAAGGCGTACAACACTTGTAGAAGAGTTTATCCATAGCTGTAGTTGATGTAGGGCTATATCCCGGACACCAGAGGCATGGAGGATGAGGGGAATGGACAAAGTACAGGGGACGGTGATTATCTAGGATTATCTATCGATATTGATTGGCATCGGTTACGACCGGACCGCTTACCCGTTCCTGGAAACCCGTCCTGATCCTGGTCGCCAGGATGCTCCGAACGGACTCTAAGTTGCCATCTGGCCAGAATCCAGATTCAGTTACATCTCGTCCAAGAGCGTCCCAGGTCGTCCATCAATCGCGGGCGCGCTGTCTTGAAGTACCCTGTTTGTAAAGCATCGTATCTCATAATTGTGCCAATGCGACTCCGATAGGTCGGTATTCCTCCGCGCATTTCGTGGAGCCATGGCCGCATCTAATACTACTTAATGCTTCTTAGTATTTGGGCTACCGCTTCATACCCCACTGCACCTTCTGAAGGCAGTTTTGATTTCCCTTGTTATTCTCATCTCCATCATGAGGGCTGGCATCCGATTCACGACTGCGTGTGCACCTCTCCTGACCTTGGGTTTATTCCCTGGTTGAAGGGTGCAAGTGGGCCTATATCTCTTCTAAGTTCTGATTCACTCAGTACTCGGCATTCTCTAAGAAACATACTCAGCGGATACATCCCAACTAAGCTTGAGAGATTCTGTTACAACTGATCCTCTGAATCAGGTAACGGCCCGTATATTCCGCCGACTTTGTAGGCACGTCTGCTAGTGTGGGCGTACACCGCGCTTGCCAAATCTGCCCGCCTAAATTCCTCTCCAAAGGCTCCCTCCACATCAGCTTGCTGGAATCGGCCCTGGTTCCTGTACTAAATGGGGCGATAGGACGTGCTATAGTTCTTGATCGCAGCCTCGCGCGTCTGATACAGCCGGACCGTGGTCTCCCACCCGATCTTCTCTGCATCCTCCAACGAAATTCCCTCCTCGCACCGTGCGAGATCGCTATACCCTGCGCAGAGCCAGGGTGCCACGTCGCATTGCCGGGAGAGCAGGATGCCTTCAATGCTCCCCAGGCCGATACTGGTGAGCTGTTTGATTGCCAGATCACAGGCGTCAAAGAAGCGCCAGAGGGTCGACAGCCTCAAGACGGAGACCCACTCTTCCTTGGGCATGCCAAGGATCTGCGGGATATCTCTGGACACTTTCATCGTCAACATCCAACAATTGTTTTCGGCGTGGAATGCTGACGCACAAGGGGTACAGGACCTTGAGGAGTTGATGGAAGTCAACGCTGCTGATCCCTTCCAAGATGAATGGGTTCGCGTCGCTCTGGCCTTTGGCTTGGACGTCATCGACCGCTGGGAGTGCGAACGTTGATACGAAGATTTCGGAGTTGTGCTCGAAGTGGTAACGCGGAACCTTGAAGATGCTATCTTCGACCTGGGCAGGTGTGAGACTTGTCTGGTGGGCGGGAGCTGAGCTCACCTTGAACGTAATACTTTCCAGATAATAGTTGGGAGTGGGGTCTTGGGGAATGGCCTGTGGGGCTTCCATGGCCAGATATACCCCTGGGGAAGCGGGACGGATGCTGAATGTCATGCTCTGTCTGGAACTGGGGTGACAGCACTTCGGGCTTTTATATACCGATCCTCATGGTGCTCGCATGATCTACTGTGGGCATCAATTGGTCGATCCGGTGTGCGGCAGTGAGTTCTGAGAAGCACCCCTGAGATGCAGGATATATTCAGTGGTGCGTTTCTGGTCTTTTGGCTGGTTTATGCTGCATGAACTTACCTTATAACCGAGTTCAAGAATTCATCCCCGGGAATTCGCGATTATTCTGATTGATTTAGGACATGCCAAAAGCCGAGTTGTTCTTTCTCGCACGGAATACCACATATTCTTGGGTGTCTGCACTCTAGTAAGGTGTCTGTATTCTCATAAGGCTATCTGACAGACCGTGGTGGCTTCCGCAAATTTCAAAACAAAGCCACCTGGCCTGAACCCAGCCTGAACCGCCAAGTTGTCGTGATTCCAATTTCCGACGTGAAGCCTCCTGTAGAGATCCTGTGGCATCCCACTAGAATCCACTGTGGGGAGAATTGGCCCTTGGTCCGACTGCGGCCAAACACTTGATCCGAGTGTCCCGAAGCAGTCGATCCCACTGCCTCTAGCAGTTGATCCGACTGCGACTCGACTCTCAATCCGAGTGGATTGGTGCCTGTTGGGTTTTATGGTCGAGGAATCAGACAGATAAGAGTTATAAATATAGAAATGATATTGAATGTTTGGCTGAGCTCTGCAAATGCTTGAGCAATACAGAGAAATATGAACTACTTATATACTACAAGCCCGAGGCATCCCCGAGACCCTTACAAAGACGGGCGGTAGTGTGCGGGATTATACTCCAATTTTCCAGTGGTCTCCACTATATTCTAGTCAGCTGGCGGCTTGCCCGAAAGATGTCCGAGGCTATGCCCGAGGAATGCCCGAGACATCACTGCATCAACTCCAATAGCGCCATTTTTGCAGTTGGATTGAGGGTCTTCCCGCAGCCGGACTGGGGGTTGTATGCAGTCGATCCGCCTGCTATTGACCCGGTCAAAATCTTATATATTATACACTATATATGACATTCTAGGTACTCTAGCTAGTAGTAGACATCCGCCTTGCTTCTGTCATGTGTGAGTCAAGAATGAAATATCAGATACATGTACTTACCTTCGAAGCAATCTAAAACAGCTGGTCAGCCAGAACAACATCGAGAGAAATAGAATGAAGCATGCCCACGGCGGTTTGAGTATATGCAGTCCATTCAGGTTGGATGAATGTGCCGGAGCCGTTGAAGAGCGTTGAAGGCCACAGGTACCTAATCAGCGCATCAAAAATATGAAAAAAAGGAGAGAGCAGGCACCCTTTGATGCCCATATCTCCAATATGTGTCCTGTTCAGAAAAAAATAATCTCAAAGTTTAATCGTGTGGATCTTGAAAATGCTCACTGTAGTTGGTGCTGCACGCAACACGGAGATGAGGAGCACTGGACGAATTGGGCGGAGTCGAGTACTAAGATAAATAAAATTTAGTAATTGAGGGAGCATCGCCGCATTCCTCACCTTACTGTACATAATGTTCCGAATGAAACCCTGCGCTCGCTGTCGGAAGATCACCTTCAAAGACTTCCAGAAGCGCTTGCTGCCAATTACCGCTGGCAGGGAAATCCATTAGGTTCGAAACTGCGACTTTAATTGAGCTAAAAATATCTGTTAAAGAGGGCGAAAATGTACGCACTGAAGTTTCTGTCGTGCCAGCGCAAGGATCAATTGATGTAAATGGCGAGCGCATGTGCCAGCAATAATCCCCTGCACAGCTACATTCAAGATTGTGACATGAATGAAAGTTAGGTGGATGTGTTATCATGTAAGGGAATGCTTACAGACGGCACGAGGGTGGGAGGGCAGAAGTAGTAATTTGGAGCAGTGCGAACAGTAGTTACGAGTATGCAGCGGCAGCGAAGGGAAAGATCAGCAGTGTCTCTTCCAAATGGTAACCACACACCAGAAAGATTTCACCAGCTTGCAGAGGCTTTCTCGGCCATGCAGCAGAAAATGCGGGGGTGGCGGTCCTTGAGCAGGTGTTAGCGAGGTACAATGCGATGTGAGCTATCACGTTGTGATTGCTCCAGAATACGGAAAAGGAAACGTGAAAGGGGCTGCTGAGCACTGCAGCCGTGGAAAAACATAAATGATGAAAACTCAGATGACATTCCAATTATACTGCACAACCGACCACCGACAACAAAAATGGCAAAGGTCCTAAACAACTGTGACGCGAATTGAACGCGCATATTCGGATTATGTAACATAATTCCGGCAACATACCAGCTATGCCGCGCAGGTGATGCAAGAACAACCCAATGATTCCCCTGACACACCATCTATGCCATGCAAGTAAGGACGACCGAGCTCAGTAAGAAAAAGATGAAGAAGACACATCGCAAACCCACGGTTGGAATTGAACACGCAAACCTCGGATTATGTAATGTATCCGCAGGACGACATACCAGTTATGCCACGCAGGCAATTGGAGGTCTCAGAGGACAGGGACAAAATAAGACACGTTCCGAGCACCAATATGTTGAATCTACAAGCAGACCGAGCACCCTTCACTTGACACTGAGCTGCGGTGGGCTACTATCTGTAGGAATTATAAAAAAAATCAGGAGCTTGAGGCAAAAAAAGGTCCTGCAAGTGGCCGGGAAATGCGGATTGCCAAGCCACTCACAGGAAGGCTAAGGCAGGAATTGAACCTGCGACATTCTAGTCCGGGCGGGCAGGCAATTTAACCGTTACACCACATAGCCAATAAAGAAAGGGAGGTAACAAAACATGATTGGATGGAGGAAAGAGATGCCGAGCAAGGAGGACATATACTGAACTGAGATATCTGGGCACCGAGCAACAGGAAGACCGTCCAAGCGCACAAATCCAGACACCGAGCGGGGGAAACGTATACCAAGCACAGGGAACGGGTCACCGAGTGGGAAGAAGGAGCATTTGGGGATAAACCAAGTGGATATTACAAAGGTTGGATGAGTAGGCACCGAGCGGAGAAGGAGCCGAGCAAGGAGGGCTGCGGGAGGGCGTGGGGGGGGAGTAGCGCAAAGACAGGTGGCATCATCCAGGTAGGCAGGGAGGAGAGCCGGCTGCGGAATATGGGCAGTATAAATACAGCCTGCACGCTGATAGAAAATCATCTTGGTTTTGGACCCACATCCTCTAAAGCTGTAAAAAGCTCTAAAATACAACTCGGTCTCACCCAAAATGAACTGTTATCACAGGAAAACACTCTCTTGCTCCTCAGAGACATATTCCTTCCTACACCGAGCCATCTGTCGGCAAGGTTAGGTTATCTTCAAAGCCCAGCTTTACACTTCCCTATCCGATCCAACTCTCTTTTTCACTAAAAGAGGGTAGTTGAAAAACCCTCACACAAAGCGATGCAGCCAAGTTCGGCGTGTAGCCGCTAGCCTAGATCAGATTATTTCGCCCTCGGCAGGCAGATAGGAGAAGAAGAGAAGGAGACAATTGGTCAGGACATATTTTACGGAGAGGTTAAAGAAGGGAGCACTCGGCTGAGGAACCGAGCTTGTTAAAACGACCTCTGCCCCAGCTAAAACAACCTACTCATTGAATACCTTCGGAGTCGGATTATACGACCAAGGAGGCCCTCTAAAAACACATATTCCACCTCGGCGTCCTCGATTCGGAGCCAGCATCGCACTTGATTGTCCCTTCTTGACAGGCTGTAGAGCTCGGTCCGACGGCGCACACTGAGAAGGCTGTTCTATTGCACTAAAACGCAGTGACCAGTTGTAAAATACTCCTTCTTTACTGAAGAACCACACACCTCCTATATAAAACCACACTCTGAATTAAATAAACCTAGCACCGAGGTGCACTGTTCACAGCAACAGAAATATTACCCCTAGAGAATGTACCATTCTAAACTAGCCCGAGTTACCACCACGCTCGGCAGTTTACGAAACCGCAGTCCACATCACAGCGAGGATGAGTGGAAAGGAGTCCTGCTTTTTGGTATCATAATTCAAAGCCCTGCATCAGGGGAGCAGAAAGAGCCCCAGGGTTCGTAGATTGAGGAAGATTTGGTCGAGAACGAGCCGTTGCGGTCCTCGGCTGGCGGCTGATGCTTACAAAATGATGGTTACACCCCTCGGACCGCGATCCACGCTGGCGTAACTTGCGATCAAGTGATCACTTTCTTTCGAATTTTGACATGGACCATCCTCAGAGGTCCCATTGGTTGCTCCCACACACTTGGGGAAACTTTTCTTATGGGGTCTTATATTTCACAAGTTGCCAACTAACTAGGGTGGCCAACTAAGCAGTCCGATACAGTATATCTTTTCGGAACCCGAAAATAAAAAAGTGAAACACACCCCCACTTCTTTCTTTTGTCTCGAACTCCGGAAAGCTTTCTGCTTCTCCTGGTGATATTTTTCCTCCTCGGCACAAAATATATGTAAACAAGGTGGCTGTCCTCACCCTAGCTGATGGAGTGATTGCCGGGACTGGCCCGCATCCTCCTACCAACTGTCCATCTCAACTCTGCGGATTTTGTCTCAGTTTTGGCTAGGAGGATGTCAGAATGCCACACACAGATATTTAGGACTTTCGAGGCTGTTTGAGGTTGATCTCTGCCATAACTGGCTTGTTGGCAGGAAATGATGAGGAAGGGAATGTGGCAGTGCCGGATGACTTGCAGTGAGTGCATGAATGATGTCCAGCCCTTGCTGAACACTCATATACATATATTTTGTACCGAGGAGAAAAAATGTCACCAGGATAAGCAAAAAGTTTTCCAGGCACTGCATTCAAGGCCCGCCTCGCCACAGCACCGCCTTGCCGGACCGAGCCGCACACGTGTGGAGAGGGCACATCAATTACATGCAGCAAGCTCTGTGGAGCTGCCTCCACACAACTAGCCACAGCTCCCCACACCTCGGCAGACCTCGCTGGCCCTATACAGGCAGATAGCATTATTTGGTCCCCTCATTGCTACTTGAATCTCCTCATGTCCTTACTCAATTCTCTTGAAGGAAAATGTGTGCAGCTCCTCTGGCGCATCCCTGACGCCAAACTTAGATCAGAAAGGTTAAAAGAGATGGATATTATTAGCATTACACCAGTAGCTACGGAAACAAGTTGAGGGAGAGAACAGAGGGGCCAGAGGAAAGATAATTGAACAGATAAATGGGGGACATGAGAAGCAGATGGTGGTCTGGCAGCAATGGGTGCGGTGAGGTCAAAGCAGCGGGCTCGATGCAGTGCTGCTAAGCGACGGAAGCAATAGGTAGCAGAAGCTACACAGATCACAGCTAGATCGCCGCGTGGAGCCGCCTCGCCAAGGCCTTGCCCGGACATAGCCGAACCTTGCAGAAGCTCCACGGGGCCTCAGCTAAGGCGGCCTTGAATGCAGTGAGGGTTTGAGAAAAAAAAGTGAGGGTGTGTTTTCACTTTTTATATTCAGGTTCCGAAAAAATATAAAAATATTTATTCGGCTGGTCTGCTAATCACACTGGGTGACTTTCCATAAGCATAGAATAATCCCAAGCTTGTTTGAGAGTGCCAATGATGGCATCACATCATAAGATATTCAAGTTGTCTGCCAAAGGCCTGCATTGCCAGAAGAACAAACAAATAAACCAACTTTAGCTTCCTGCTTGGGAAAGGGCCGGAACGAACTCCGATGGGTAGTGCGAGGGTGCTTGATTTTCAATGGAATTAATTGACAGTTTCGTGGTTGAGAAAGAGCATGAAGAGTGGTCGTTTGTCAGTCAAAACAGTTTATTCCATCTATTATAATCTGTTCAGGGGTCCCTACCCCCTGTACAGATTAAGGTTTATACAAGGTGCGAAACAACTGAAAATGAGATCGAAGTCCGATGGGGTCCTGACACCTGTCTCGGCATCTCGTCGGAACGACCCAAAATATTTGCCACAGACTTTTCTATGCTTATGGAAAGTCATCCACTTTAGCATGAGTAGACATGAGTTTAGTTTTACAATCGTCAAAATGACCCCAGAAATACCCGGATTCACATGTTTTATACCCGCAATAATAAAAGTGGCCATAAATGGAACTATTCTGTTCTTTCGGATTTCTTCTCGGCCGGATCATTTCCTCAGAAGATTCTTTCTTTCATTTAGGATCTCTGTGCTTCTGCGGATTGGATTTAACGTGCTCGACCCCTCCCTTCTGCTTTCTGCCCACTCCAAAAACACGGTCAATTTTGGAGCCACGCCACCAAGAATTTTGCTCCAGATCGGAGCCTAGTGGATTCGATGCTGGTGACACCTTTGCACTTCATCTTTATTGGGGAATTTACACCGTGTCTTGGCTTGGGTTATATTCCAGTCGTTCCGTTCGCCCTTTCCGGCCCTGGTGCCCGTCTTTAACTCCGCTCATCCCACCCCATCCCCATTCCTATCAATTTGCCGCTCCGTTCTGTGGTACAGAACGTGTGGCTGCGTCCTGGGCATTGCCACCCGTTTTGTACCACCCAACAGAGGGGCAAATTGATAGGACGAAGTAGGAAACACAAAGCAAATGAGAATTAATAAACAGTTGGAAGGATGAACGGGTAGGCGCCATTCCAACCGCGATATTCTTAGCCTTACCCGGTGCTAAAACTGTACCGTTTCTTCGACGTTGACAACACCCACCTGTCAGGTCCTTCATGGATTCCGTGAAGGCCTTCCAGTCATCGCGGACCTTTAGCAAAACTCTGGAGATTTTTACCTGGTTCTGGCGCCGTTCGCCAACGTCGGCATGTTCCACCTGTCCGAGTCGTGTCTTTCACGGATGCCGCGAATACCTTCCTGATATCGCGGACCTTTAGCAAAGGCCTGGAGGTTCTTACCGGGTTCTGGGTGACGTCTGTGTCGAACCGATGCTGTGGCTTCCTCAGTCCATGGAGGTATGAACATTTTTGACACCCTTCAGTCGCTATCGAATATTGTCCTTGTCATCATGGACTTTAGACGTCCGAATTTGTTCAACGAGTTCAAAATATCACCATTACCGAGGTGCCTTGCAAGATTGGTACAGACCCGATCATCGGATCGCACGCCGCAGACAATATGAAACTATCTTCCTGAGCAGAATCCTTGGTGTTAAATCAGCGGGCACTGATAAATTTAATCCACTGAGTGCCCCGAATTGAAGGCACGCGCTTCCAAGTGTGCATGCGCTGTAGGTTTTTTCGCTGATCCTCTGAATTTTCTCAATGTGAGTAGCGCACTTCCTCGTACGCAGATAGGGAGACCGGTGTTTAAGCTCGAATTAAGCTTCAGGTAAATTTCATTCGTGGCTTTGCTGGGTTAAAAGTCTAACCAATGGGGACGCTGGATTCACTTTCTAAATGTGGGTTTATTTTACTGGCCAACGTCGAAGTCCCACAGATTGGCGAACACATAGTAGGGTCCCCTAATTTCAATTTCAAGGCTCAAGTCGCCGAAAATACAGTGGGACTGTGTTTAGAAAAATCCCAGGGATAGTCGAATCGGGAGAAAATTTTCGGCATCAGCAGTTGTGAGTGAAGTCACAAGGGTCCCGACAGCGATCCGCGATATTGATTAAACCAGCACAGCACCCATGGCTGCCATAGAACTCGCAGGCATTGTCGTCGCAAATGGGGTAACTCCCGAAATTCCCTGTACAGCCAGGAGGAATTTGGTGCAATTTACCGCCATCACATCTGTTGGCCCGTTAATGGTTGCATTTTCGACGAGAAAGTTGGGATGCTGCCTACGTGTACGTCCCGTCCAATGGATAGCACAG